TTGACTTTTAAAAGAACAAAATTTTTAATTAAGATTTCCAGTATAATTTCTAAAAAAAATTCCCAAGCTTTTTTCAACCAAATTTTTTATTTTGATTTTATTTTGAATTATTTCGAAAAAATGTATTTCTACAATTTTTTTAAATATCTTTCAAAATAGTTTTTAAGCAATCCACGCTCTAACGGAGCATACCGACACACATATGTACCCATCATTTCGGAAACAGTCAATTCTAAGAATTATTATAATACTATGTATTATAATATTTGGGAGGTGGTTTATACTGCTACAACATCAACAACACATGTATCTATACATATGTAAGAGTTTAATGAAATTCGGAATCATAACTTTACTGAAAAATATAAATTTTTACGTTATTTGGGTATATTTTTCAAAAATTTAAATATTTAATGTAAAATGTGTACATATACACGAGTATAATTGTAAGCACCTTTGCACACACAGACACATCTTTGTGAACTATTAGTTGCTTTCCGCGAATTTTACCGCCGACACGTGCGCTTTCGCTTTTAACTACGACCTTGCTACTATAGTTACTCATACGCCATGGTTATGCACCGTCGTCGCTACTTTTATTAGTACTGTTTTTCGCTGTGATTGAATTTAATTCCACTTTGTTTTTTAATATTAATTCGACTCAAGGAGTTTTTAACAATTTTGATATTATTTTACTGTGAATATTATTTTGTTTTTGAGGAAGCAGACTGGCAACACAAGTATGCCTATGTAAATTTCGCCATCCAGATGGTTTAGTGAGTGTACAACTGGTTTAATTACAGTAAAAAGAAATTCACTATTTTTAATAAATACAGATATAGTATTATGTATCTCCTTCTTCTTCTCAATTGGCGTAGACACCGCTTACGCGATTATAGCCGAGTTAACAACAGCGCTCCAGTCGTTTCTTCTTTTCGCTACTTGGCTCCAAATGGCTATTCCAAGCGTAGCCAGCTCCTTCTCCACCTGGTCCTTCCAAAAGAGTGGATCTCTTGCTCTTCCTCTGCCGGAGACGTCCTTCCCTATCCTGACGGAGCTTTTGGTGCTGCTCAAAGTCAGTTTACACAGACGTATTAGTTATCTGGGGATACMAAATTCAGACATTGCGGCATAAAGGCAGCTCCTTTTCGTGCTGTCGAAAGCAGCCTTGAAATCAACGAAGAGGTTGTGTGTGTCGATTCTCCTTTCACGAGTCTTTTCCAAGATTTTGCGCATGGTGAATATCTGGTCGATTGTTGATTTTCCAGGTCTAAAGCCACACTGATAAGGTCCAATCAGTTCGTTGACGGTGGGCTTTAATCTTTCACACAATACGTGCGTTTTTTGCTGCACAGAGGCGCGTGCGAATCTTGGCTGCAACAAGATAGTGGTCCGAGTCGATGTTAGGACCTCGGAGCGCGCGCACATCTCAAACACTGGAGACGTGTCTCCCATCTATCACAACATGATCGATCTGGTTGGTGGTTTTTCGATCATCAGACAGCCAGGTAGCTTGATGTATCTTCTTATGTTGGAATCTAGTACTGCAGACAACCATATTTCGGGCCCCGGCGAAGTTGATCAGCCTCAACCCATTTGGGGATGTTTCCTCGTGGAGGCTGAATTTACCGACCGTAGTKCCAAATATACCTTCTTTGCCCACTCTGGCGTTAAAGTCGCCAAGCACGATTTTGACATCGTGGCGGGGGCAGCTCTCATAAGTGCGCTCCAAGCACTCATAAAAGGCATCTTTGGTCACAACGTCCTTCTCTTCCGTSGGGGCGTGAGCGCAAATCAGCGATATGTTGAAGAACCTCGTTTTGATGCGGATTGTGGCTAGATGTTCATGCACCGGAGTGAATGATAGTACACGCGACGGAGTCTCTCTCCCACCACGAATCCCACACCAAACTTGCGCACCTTTATATGGCCACTGTAGTAAATGCCACAAGGACCTACTCGTCTCTGTCCTTGTCCCGTACATCGCATTTCTTGGACGGCGGTGATGTCAGCCTTTGTTTTTACGAAGACATCAACCAGCTGGGCAGCGGCACCTTCCCAATTAAGGGACCGGACATTCCATACTTGGTCAAAGACCGGAAGTCGTGAGCTGCTTGTGTCATATGTAAAAGAATCGTTTCTGGCCACTCCCAAGTGAATGGCGATCAGATGGCCTTGAGCCACAATTATGGCCGAATTTAAAGCCAGTAAGGCAATGAACATCATGGTATTCACCAAATTTGGCTCCGTGTGATGTTTTCTTGTTCTCCAAACTGAAATTGCCGTTCAGTGGAACCCGTTTCCAGTCGATCGACGAGATAGAACCGAATTCTCTGAAGGAAGTGAAGGCCATACCAATGAGAAGGATTATGAGAAGTGTTTTGAGAACTGCAACAATCGTGGACATAAGTGTATTACATATTTTGAGGATTACTTTGAAGGCGAAATAATAAATATTGGTATTTGCAATTTCCAGGTACTTTTTTGTCACAATGTATAGAATAGTTACCGACCAATTGACTCACTAACCCCTATATACAGATAACGGTGAAAGCTAATTAAATTGCGCTTAATTCATAATCCTTTTGGATTCGCTTGAATTCCACGGCGTATACGTAACTGTAGTAGCATTATAATAAGATTACTTAGGCGTTGTTACATGAAGCGCATTTGTTGTGTAAAAGACAAAATTCTATGGAATTCGGCGCTTTATGCTTCAACTAATTAATATAATTTTTCTCTTTCTACTTTTACTTGCAGTTTTGTGCATCATAATAGACCGATTACAGAGTCCAGAGTTCAGCCACATAAGCGACATATATAAAAGAGAAATAAAAGTTCACAATCACAAGCAGTGATTAACGCGATAAATCAAGTTATATAAGAGAAAGATAAAATAAATATTAAATATAAACCGTTTGTAATCCACACCAAAGCATTTTAATCAGTAACAACGCCTCCATATAAACACATACCCATCCGTCACCACACCATCACATTGGATTACGCGCAGCTTTACTTTCGTCCAGAGCCAACTAGTGGCCCCATACCGCAGCAGTATCAACAGTACCAGAAGTACCAACAGTATCAGAAGTATCAGCATCAACCGTACCAGCAGAAGTATTCACAGTATCAACAGTTGCCACAGCATTACAACTACTACAACTACAACTACAATCATAATTATAATATCACCAGTTCACGTTCCACACCGACCCATTCGCCCGCTCCCTCATATACACATCTCCATCAACACTCACATCATCAACAACATCATCTGCAACAACAACAACTACTTATACAACAACATCAATTGCAACAGCAACAACTACAACTACAAAAGCAACAACAACAACAGTTGCAACAGCAGCAGCTACAGCAACAACAATCGCTGTCACAGCAGCAGGCACAACAGGCGTGCAACTATTACACAGCGCCGCCGCCACCAACCACCAACACCAGTTCGAACCACCACACGCCGAGTCATCACAGTTCGACCTATAGCGCATACGGATCGTACGGTTCGTACGGCGGCGGTACATACGGCGGCGCTTATCTCGGCACGAGCGGCAGCGATAGCGGCGTAGGCGGTCTTACACCTATCGGCCGCAACTATCGTTGGTATCACTCGAGCGGCAGCGGCGGTAGTGGCAGCATCAGCGGTAGTGTTGGCAGCAATTACCTTACTGCCGGCTCACTTGGCGCCACATACGGACGCACGTCACCAGCCGCACTTGCACACGCGCGCCCCTTGCTCGCCTCCACATCGACAGCGGCCAGCAGTAGCGCTGGTGGTTGTGGTACCGGCAGCGGCGCATACGGTTTGGGACTTGGCCTGGGTTTGGGCCTCGATCTCAATACCAGTGACTACGAATACGAACGCGCTTCGCTACACTCTGGCGCTTACGCATACAAATCGTCGTCATCGCGACGTGGCAGCAGTCTTGCTGCCGATTATTTATTGGACGTTGCAGCACGTTGCAGCGTACCATCGCCGGCACTTGAGGCCGAGCCGGATACTGATCTTGAACTTGATCTTGATCTCGATCTCGACGTGGGCGTCGGCGTCGGTGTTGACGTTAACGACGTTGACCACATTGGTCACGACATTGGCTTGGGCCTTAACGTCGAGGATCTTGAAGATCTTGATATCCCGGTACCAGAACCGGAACCCGAGGCGGACGTACACGACGAACTTGTGCGCGCACTCGAACTTGAACTTGATTGGGGTCTTGACTACAACACCGCCACCACCACCACTACCACCCATCTCAATCTCGATCTCGACAGCAGCACCGATCTCGTCGGACTCGACGACATCGATATTGACGAAGAAGAAGAGCCGATACTATCGCCTGTGCTCAATCGGTCATTGCGTCCATTCACCTATCCGGCGCTTACGATCACAGCACCAGAGAATAGTATCGCAAGCGAATCACCAATACCTGTGGCGACACCGCCACCGACACCGACGGATTTTCTATATCCGCAGTTGTCCGTACACAGCAACAAAACGTCACCTCAACAGCAACAGCCACAACTACAGCAACACCAGCAGCAGCAGCAACAACAACCGCAGGCACAACAACAATACCAGCATCAACCACAACACTACCACCACCAACAACGTACAACGACGACACGTCTACCGCAACACGACGACAGTTGCGAGGAGTTCAATAACATTACCGACGATCCGACGTCCTGCGTCGGCCAAAAAAGAATGATGGTTAGCCGTTTGTGGAACAGTTGTTTCCCCAAATTCACGCCGGAGCATGTGCACCGGCACAATTTTTACCTGTGTCAGGTAAGTCTGTCTAGAGTCTGCTCTACTTGGTTAACATAAACTGCTATTTAACCTTTATTCATCATTAATCTCGACTCCTTCTTAGTGGCAACGCAACACCCAAGTGCGCATAGTCTATCTTTTTTACCGTTGGCTAACGGCAATTACCTGCCTCGCCGCACTCGTTTGCTCGCTACTCGACATCGGTCGCACCGAAGAGCACTTCGAGAATCATTATGCCAAATGGTGGATCTACTTGACACATTGGGGTCTGCTCTTTTGTACGGTGCAAGCTTGGTTGGCGGCGTGGATTGTAACGCAGGGCATGATGGTGGAGCGTGAGGATTTCGAGGTTGTACGTCAGGTGCGCAAGAGCCGTCTGCATCATATCTACTGGGTGCTCTATACATGCGCCACCGTTTACTCGTTCATAATAACGATGTGCTATTGGTTGTTGGTGCACGATCCAGGTATGCATCTCTAGGAATTTGTGGAATTTATTTCGACCTTTTCGTTTCTTTTGCAGAAATTCACAAAATAGACGCTTTAAATATAATGGTGCATGTGTTCAATTCGGTGATTATGCTCATCGATTTAGCTATTGTCGGACATCCGATTAAATTGAGTCATGTCTACTTCACGACCGGCATCGGCTTGGCCTACGGCATATTTACGGGCATATATTTTATAGCTGGTGGCACAGATAGGTGAGTAACGAAGTTTTCTGATTAAAAATTTCCACATTTATGTTAAAAGCACATTTTTTAGCATTGAGTTGACGACTAATTGAAGCATACATTAAATAACTTTTAATTTTTCTTTTCATTTACTTATCACTCTTTGATTTTTTCACAAACTTATTTTCTCCCTTATGCTCTTACGAAATCCACGAGCTAAAACTTGTAAGTCATTCTAAAGCCAACAAAGATATACAAGTATAATAAGATAATCAGTTGTCAGATTGTCTTTTTTCGATCCGAACACAGCCATGTAACTTGATGAATTTTCCTATGTTGAAATCTATTACTACAAACAAACATATTTCGGGCTCCGGCGAAGTCGATCAGCTTCAACCCATTTAGGGATGTTTCATCATTAAAGCTGATTTTACCGACCGTTGTGTCAAAGATACCTCCTTTGCCCACCCTGGCGTTAAAGTTGTCAGGCACTATTTTCACATTGTGGCGGGGGCAGCTATCATAGATTGAGCTACAAGCGCTCATAGAAGACATATTTGGTCGCATCGTCCTTCTCTTCCGTCGGGCTCAAATGTCAATATGTTGAAGAAATTCACTTTGATGTGGATTGTGGCTAGACGTTCAGCCACCGGAGTGAATTCCAGGTCTCTACGACGGAGTCTCCCTTCTCATGAATCCCATACCAAATTTGTGCTGCTTTATATGGCCTCTGTATTAAATGCCATAATGACCTATTCATCTCGAGTTCTTGTCCTGTTCATCGCACTTCTTGGACGGCGGTATTGGCAACCAGCTGAGCAACAGTACCTTTCCAATTAATTATTTCCTGGACATTCCAGGTGCGTGCCCTTAAATCGTAATCCTTAACTCGTCTGCAGTGGTCGTCATCAAAAGAAGGTTCTCTCATCCAAGGCTTTTTGACAAAAATTTGACTCGGATTTACAGTTTTTATATATTTTAATACACGCCTTTTGAGCCAATACAAACATGCTTAATACATATTACACTTGTTATTGTCTTGACTTGTCGTGGCCTTCAGTGAATGAGTTTTAAAGCCTTCATTAGACTTCACATTAACCGATATTGATTTTTGAGTTTTGAAAAAAGAAACAAGGTTCAGACCGGCTTATGTGGCGAATATGGCGGCTGATGATTGACTCCCATTTCGCTTTCAGCCAAAAAACCAGTAACAATCATACTCGAATGTTAGCATAAGAAAAAATCTCAGAATTTACGGCCCACAAATCAGATCTTACTTCGCATAGACGACTATGTAGTATTCTTTATTAACCTTTTGATTCTGTGGAACCAATTCAAATAGATATATCCCAAGCTAATCAAGCAAAAGCAGTACCTTAGTTTTTTACATATTTCGACCATTCGCTAGATTATTGGTTGAATGTATGGTTCCCAATTCACAACGTAATTCTCTTTTGCGACTTCTACTCAACTAATTGCTTCATGTAGACGCCTCAAAACGACTTAGTTGTATTCTTTATTAATCTTTTGATCCTAAAGAACGAATTCATGGTAGGTCACAGCAATGTAATCAAAATAAAGGGATCAACATCACTTTAATTTTTTACCGACTTTGACAGGTTTTTTTCGATTTCTGCAATTTTGCGGTACATTATTCGATGGTCTGTTGGAAAGTTTCAATGCCATATTCATAAACAAATGTCAGTTCATCAATAATGATGTGTGTGATGAATATAGAGTCTTCACCCACGTTGTCAAGCACATATTTTGCTTTCATACCCAAAATATTAAACAAAATGCTAAGAGATGTTGAGATCCTCTGTTAACTCTCTGAAACTCCAATAAAATAATTTTCAAGCAGTGTTTCTTTAAATTTTTTCAATGACTTCACGCCCACGCGGAATACTTTGTGCCACTCGAATGCTGGTCTTTGTAATGAAGTAATCCCCAAAGCACTTTTTCAACTTTTTTAACGATTCGGTAGCCATGATTCCAAAATTTTAATCATATTTTAACACAGAGTTAAGTTTTGCCTCCGTGGTAAAAATGGTCAGACAAACTTTTCGCATCGTACACAAATAGCTATCAAACACACAATAGTTGACTCTCCATACGTCAACTATTGTGTGTATTTCTTACGAACAAAACTAAAACGAGGTTGAAAAAAAAAATTAAGAAGAATAGTCCGAGTTAAGTTTGATCAGATGATGTATTAGGTATGTGTTCATTATAGGTTTCTTAAAGGATGCTCACCCTTTAAAATATTTTTATTTTTTATTGCAATACAGATTTTAAATTATTTAAATAGTTTTTTTTTTAAGAATTTGTAAATGTATATGTATGTATGCTTTATTTTATGTTCTTATTTTAGTATAAAAAGTTCCACAAAATCAACAAAAAATATTTTTTTTTTAAGTATTGAAAAAATGCGCACAGCATCCTGCACATCACTTTTTGGTTTGATTTCTACATCTTTATTGAGTTTCCCGCACACATTTACCACTTCAACACCGTACACCAATTGCAAGCACATCAATAGATATACATATAATGAACGCAGATCTTAAAAATGCCACACATTTTTGTTGACAGAAAGAACAACGTCTACATTTACCCGATGCTGGACTGGACAAAACCGGGCAAGGCCATAATTGTCACCGTGTGTGCCATAATATTCGTCGTTGTGGTGCATTTCTGCTGCTATCTGCTCTACCGCACGCGCGTCTGGCTCTTCACCAAGCTATGCATACGCGGCGCGCACAACCGTGACGGCGACATGGGCGAGGGGCTAAACGACGAATCCACGGCGCGTCTGGGCGGCGGCACTTCACAGGAATACTCGCATCAACAGCAATATCCGATATTGCATTCCGAGCAACCGCGCAGCGCGCATCACCATCATCAACACGGACATCCGCAGCACACGCAACAGCAACAATATCAGCAGCAACAGCAACAACAACAGCAGTACCAGCAACAGCCGAGCGGAAATGTGCAAACAGTAGACATGGTAAGTGGCAGCGGCGGCGGCACACAGCACACCACACCGCCTTACTATCCGCAATATTCCGGCTACCAGCAGCAGCCCGTTGTAGCGGGCGTGAATGTCGGTGTGCTCAGCGCTGGCGGTTACTATCAGCCGGAAAACAATAATCAAAATAAACATCAGCAGCAACAACACAAACAACAGCAGCAGTCACAGCAGCAACAGGCACAACAACAGTCGCAGCAGCAGCAGCTGCAACAACAACAGCAACAAAAGCACTCCTCACCCGGAACTGGCAGCACATCCGGCTTAAGTCGCACGGTCGCCCACTTGGATGCGGCACAGCGTGAGCAATTCCTGAATCCAAACAAGATTGTGGAATATAAAATGTAAAGGCGTTGTACCCGGCACCGATATACGTTCCACTTGTCCATGAAATTCTTGGAGAAACACTGTGCGCAATGTCAGGCGGCCAAGCGACGCGCCGAAGCCGAAGCCGTAGCGGAAGCACATGCCAAGGCGGAAGCGCAAGCGGCCATCGAAGCGGCGGAAAAAGCAGCAGCCGCAGCGCTCGAAGCAGCCGCCAAAGTCAAATCCGAATGCGCGAAATGCTGTTGAGCGCGTCGCCAATTGGCCGACGTTGGCTACAACACAAGCGGCCGGCCAGTCTTGATTTGTTAGCGTCACAGTGTGCCTGCGTTTTTGTAACTATGTGTGTACATGTGTGTGTTGTTGTTGTTGTGTGCGCACATTGTTGTTGGTATTAGGTTCAATTTAACTACTAGACAGTGTTCAGTGGCTCCGTTGTTATGGTGTCGGGTATTGGCGTTTGCATTTAAGGTAAACGAGATGGGCGTATGTGCGAGCGCTAGAAAAGGAATAAAGGACAAAGAAACGGAGAATAAGAAAAAAAAGGAAAACATGTTGAAGAAAACTGGAAAATTTTTATGAATACAAATGCGGTATGGGGCCTATGGTGGGGTTGAATAAGTTTTATAATCAAATAAACGTACAAGTTAGTGTTACTATAGCATGCAGGGAAGTGTGGTTAAAGAGAACAAATGCTTAGAGGCTTATTTGCCAATTCATATGTGTTCCTTTAAAAGACGAGTTCGTAATTATTTCGTTTGTTATATACAATATTTATGAATATAGGTTATTGTTTAGGTTAAAGAAAAGTGGGAAAATGTAGTAAATTATTACAAGTGAGAACCATCGCGTTGAAAATGGAGAATGAAGTGCTCGTGAATTATCACAAGAACACAAACGAGAAGTTTAGTTAAAAAATGCTTAGAAATAATAAATTTCAATTTTCAAGAAAATTTAGTACAATTTAGTAAAAAAAATAGTTTTGAATTATAAAAATTATGAATTATAAAATTTATTAAATTTTTTTTTTTTTTTTAATTTAAAATTATTTGAAAGTACATATTTAAGTAAACTTTTAAAAATAGTTAAGTAGCAGAAGCAAGCACATATCAGTATTTTTGAAAACATTTTTTTCTATTTTCTTGCTCATTTTGATGCTTGAAAAATATTTCATGACAATATTTTATTTAGCATTTTGAGATTATGCATTTTTTTTTACTTTTAGAGTGACAGTATTTTATTTAGTGTTTTGAAGTTATAATTTTTATTTATAACGTGCTAGTATTTTATTTTTGAATATTTTGAGGTTATGATTTTTTTTAAATGTTCCCTACAAAAGCTTAATTATTAAAAAAATAATTAAGCCGTCAATTAAACCGAAATTTTGGAACACTTTATTTAGTGTTTCACATTAATTTTCATTTTTTTTATTAATTTGTCAAATTTTCTATGCCACAAAGCCAAAAGTATGCCCAAAATTAAATTTTAATGTTGTATTATTTAAACTTAATCAAATAATAAACTGTTTTAAAATATTTAGATTTCCTAGTTTCTTTGCTTTAACTTTCAGAATTTTGAAAAGCATTTTTTATTTTGGAATATTTTTAACATATTTAAATTTTATAAAGTTAAAAGTTTAGAAAAAATAAAATTCTAAAAACAGTTGATCAGATAAAATCGATTAAAATGTTAAAAATAATTTTTTTTTATTATTACGAGTATTCTAACCCTACTTAAGTATTATTTGTATATATTCTTTTAAATCTGTTTACTAAATACATTTTTTTGAGTAAAAAATATTTATTTTTTTTCTTTATGAAAATGTTTGAGTGCAATTTATTGACATTTAGAGTAAGGATTTGGCTCTACATTTTATTTGTTTCTTACGTGCTATGTTGCCAAGTTTCTGCTGGAGAATTCCTATTGAAATTGTGTCTAAACAAGTGATACTTGAAGCATTTTCTTTTATTTGTGAAAATAAAAACTGCAATAATACATTTTCGAGTGTAATGTAATTATTAAAGCCAACATTTTGACGATTTTTCGGCTCATTTTTACTTTCCCTCCCTTCCTTTCTTCCTTTTCATTGGCATATACGCCGGTTACGTGGTTATAGCCGAGTTTACAACAGCACTCCTGTGATTCTTCCTTTTCGCTGTTTGGTGCCAATTGGAGATTCTAAGTGCAGCCAGATCTTTCTCCCCCTGACCTCTCCAACGGAGTGGAGATTTCCCTCTATTTGCCAGAGCTGGAGTGTTTTCATCCATACGGCCTGTACACTCTTATAATAATTGTAACTTGTCTATACAGATATGCAGCTCAAATTATTTTCTTCAGCAGCAGATGGAAGAATTCGTACGGCAGATAGTCGCCTTGTCTAAAGCATCGTTTGGTATCGAACGGCGCGGAAAGGTCCTTCCGGATTTTGAAGGAGCTGTTGGTATTTAATTTTTCGCTGATACCAAATTCAGATATAGCGACATAAAGCCAATCCCAAGGAATCGACGAAGAGGTGATGCGTATCGATTCTCTATTCACCGGCCTTTTCCAAGAAGTGGAGAAGGGTTTCCTTCATAATGTCAGTATGCTACGGTCATCAGTACTAGATCACCTCTGGGAGTTTTCCGTACTTGAAACCTTCTCTTAGTCGCCGCATCTTTTCGCGGAATTGTCGAGCAGTCATGCTAGCAGCTACTAGCACTTAAGAAACAAACTTAAAATAAAACTATGGCAAAAAGTTATCTTTTATTATTTATAATATTTCTTTTATAAGTTATACAATTAATTAATATTAGCATTACTTTATGAGTCTTAGTTATTAACTTTTATTAAAGGCCATTTAGGTCATCAGTAAAATGCTTTTATTTTTTAACTTAATGCGAAACTATTTTTTTCTTCAATTTTAAATTTTTATTTAATTTCTTACTTATTTTTACTTTTTTATTTATAAATTAAAAAAGTTTAAAAAAAATTAAATTAAAAAATAACGGAATATTATTAAAATTTTTTAAACAATCTTTTATTTTATTTTTAATTTTTTTTCATTTTGCAAAAACTTACTGATTGTATACATTTGTTAATACAATTTTAAAAGTATAAATATTTACATATTTTTTATATAGTCACATTTTAACAAAAATATTTTACTTTGACAGTTTTAAATATACTTTTTTTATTAAAATATAATTATTTATATTTATATACATATATATATATATTTATTTATGTACATTTATGTTGTATTTTTTTTTCTTTTTTCGCCAAAAGAAAAAAATTATCTTAATTTTTTCTTTAATAATTAAATTAATTAATTAAAATTTAGTTAAAAGTAATTGTCAATTCTACTTTCGTTCATATCTGCGAGTCAATACATATTTATATACAATACACATATGTATTTGTGTCATGATTGTTGTGCATAGCGGGTAGTTGGTATATCGGTGCAGGAACCATATATACATATATATATATAGCAAATGGAAACAATAAAAAATATGTACTAAGTATATATATGCAACTAGTGTGAGTAGTAAGAAAAACGTAGTTGAAACGTAGAAAGGCCTTTAATATTCAAAAAAGATGTAAATTTGTTAGCGCTTGTATGTATTTATTTAGGAATAGTTGGAACGCCAGAATTACAATAAACAAAACAAACAAAGAAATACTAAACAAATTAATAAATTGTGTCTGCAAGACATGAAAAAAATTATTTAAAATATAAATAATTAAGATGAAAAACAAAATTATTAAATGGGAATGAAAAAAAAATGAATAAATAAAATGAAAATGAAAATTTAATGAAAATAAAATTCAAAATGAGAATGAAAATATAAAAAAATACAAAAACAGTGAAAATTGAATTGTATTAAAATATACACACATGTATGTGTGTGCATGTACATCAATTCATGAGAACCTGAAAAGCCGATTTATTTTTTACTTGGCTTATAGAAGATCATACATGCAGAACACACACAAAAAATTTGTTAAAATGCTGACTAACCGAAAAAATAAACATCAATTGCTATAATACATATATTATATATGAAATATATGAACAAAATTTTTAAAGAAAAAATAAAAAAATTAAGAAGTAATAAACAATTAATGCTTAGCATGTAAATGGCAATGTCGCAACAATAAAAAAACAATTTAATATGTAATCAAAAGCAAGAAAAAAATTATTAAATTTAATTTAGCATTACACCGTAATATTACAAAAAACTATATATTGTATTGTTAAAAAAGCAAACACAAAATGTAAAAAAAATACTTGAAAATTGTTAGCAATGTGGTAGTGATTAGTTCTAAGATATTACTAAATATAAAAGCAAAAAATAACATAATAATAAAAATAAGATTAAATAATTATGTTAAAACATATATACAATATAAATGTATTAATATATATTTACATTGCAGAAAAAAGAGGAAACAAATATTTTAAGAAACCACTTCAAACGTTGGACGAAACAGCAAAACGCAGTAAATAATTAAAATAAGTACAGTAAAGACTCACCAAACAAAAACCAAGCATTCCAGAAATAAGCACCACACTAAATAAAGATATCATTTGCAAAAACAAATAGTAAAATAGCAAGAAAAATTTATAACCAAATTATTTTTAAGTGCAGTTGAAGAACAATTTCAGTTTACAACAAAAGAAAACAAACCCATAGAGTAAAGTAAGCAAGGAAAAATCAAACACAGTACCTACATTCAAATATACTGTCAAATAGAATGCAAAATAACGTAACATCACTTTTCATAAGCTTACAGGCGAAGGAGAAACAAAATTTGAGTTTCGATTATAAAGTTATAACCATATGGTTATATATTGTTTATAAAATGGTTATATATTGGTTATCATACACTCATACTGATTCCAGATTTCAGATTTGATTCTAAAAGGGTTATAACTGACAACGATTTTCGATTTGTTTTTGCTGTTACGCTGTTTGGCATTTTATGTGACAATATCTAATATAAAGCATACATACCTACAATAAGGCAATGAAATATTTGTAAAACTCGTCAAGAGAATGTGTT